TCAGTTCAAGTCTGTATAATAACAGCACAATTAAAAACGCAGGAGTATTATTAGCAAAATTATACATTAGTAATCAAAATAGTTATAATAAATATAATATATTATAAACATAACAATAGTAACAATAACAACAACAATAATTATTATTATTGTCATTATTATTATTATTATTAGAAGTAGTAGTAGTAAATCATGTCACAACAACAAAACAATAATAATAATAATAACAATAATGATAAAAATGAAACATTAAAATCATAATCATATTGTTATTAATTATATCACACTTATAAAATAATAATAATAATAATAATAATAACAATAATATAAATGGCTGATCGGGTGAGAAGCACTGGGGTAAACACAGAATTAGGGACCCTAGTTTCAGATGCTATATCCAACTATTTGTGCGGTACTGAATGAAAAAAGGAATGATACAATCTCTCTTTAGCAATCATTCTCTATATGAAATTTAGCAACAAAGAGTAAAAAAAAATTATATCCATTACCTAAAAATGCTCTTACACTGTATTATTCCATTGTCTATTGCAGAATTTACTTAACATTAAATGTATGCAAGATTACAATGAAGAGTTTTGCATTTTCATTTCATTTACACATATATTGTAAAATATGATGCAAAATTGTCAAATGCTGATTTAATGACTTAGTTAGGTCTTATTTTGCTTTGAATGGGCAAAGTTTGGGAAACACTATGAAAACCGCAGCAGGCATAATGTCTTAAAACAATGAAAAATTTCTCATCTCTGAGACCATAAATCAATGGACTGAGGCAACGTGGTGCAATCATAAAAACAACAAAATTAGAATATCTTAAATTAATAAACACCATAATATCACCCTTATAAAATGCCATTTCGATATATGGTATTATACTCTGAACTATACACAGAAACAGCTGAAAGGTGTGAAGGAGCACAGTTCTGAGACTCTTGTTGGTTGATTTCTTATTGTCAGAGGAGGCAGCTCTGGCTGCAATCATTATCTTGATGTAAGTGAACAAAACAACAATGATCATACAGAAGAAAAGGATCTGGAAAATTAAAGCACGTGTTTGTGCCAGCCACTCTTCCCCCAACATTACCTCTGCACTACAGAAAGCATAGGAGAACAGAGCACCAGAACGGACCGTTGAGAGATAAGCTATAAAAGTGAACAATGCGGGTATGGAGCTGATACCCCATATGATAAGAAATCCAAAACATCTAGTCCTGCTGGTAGAGATGTCAGCATGTCTTAAAGGCATGCATATAGCAACATAGCGCTCCAGACACATTGCCACAAGAGTCAGTGGAGTACAAATGTAAAGAAAAGCCATTGCCAAACAGAGGATAATACAAGGAATCATGTGGACGCGGTACTGATAACTATAGCAGACAAACAGGATATTGTTCACAATCATGAAAGCAGAGTCAACAAACAGGGTTTGTGCAAACAAAATGTAGCGAGTGTCCTCCCTGAACACCTCCTTTTTCAGAAAGGTGAATATCATCAGGCAGTTCACAAACAGGAAAATCCCCACCAATACCTGCACCACTGGCACATGTATTGAAACAGTATACATCAGCAAGTCCATATTTAAACTGCTGTTTACAGTGAGTTGCATTTCTGCAAAAGGTACATACAGACACAACAATAGATGGAGCAACGATTAACCCCACTCAAAACCCAGAAAGTCAATATGGACGTCACAGGAAAGGCTAAAGCAGTGGGCAGCACTTGCAGTCAAAGAGCTCATCTATTTATATTGTTTTTGAAGACCTCAAGGGTGGGGCAATGATTTTTCCTTGCTGAATATTGTACAGCAACATTGGCATTTTACTATGAAATATTTTAAACACTCCCTTATGTTTTTCATTTTTTATTATCTCATAAATCCTTCATTTTCAGAAAGAAAAGGGAATTTCTGAAAAATACCATCCACACCCCTGCAACAAATCAAGGGTAAGATCACCAGAGTGCTCTCTAACTGGCCTAACTAATGGGCCTAACTACTCACATTCACAGTTAGAGGAAACACACAATGGAAAAATTTCAAATAAATGATACATGTCTGTATTTATATCTGAAGTAAATCATACAAGCATAGAAAGGATAAACCACTGATACAATTACACCAAAACAGTTCTTCAGGAAATCTGCAAAGTGCGCAAAAATACACTATTAGGATTATCACGTACTTCATGCGTTACATTTCAGAGTTTCCATATACTTTTTTGTAGTCCCATGTTTTGAGTCAGGTTGGCTATTTTGTGCCATTTTATCTTATATATCTGGAGACAATGACACAAAGATTACTCGTCAGGGTTTCTGGAGAAATTCAAGACAAGGACACAATCATTGAAATCTACCAGGTCTGAGACTGGATGTGTCACAGAAACATGGGGGCCCATGAATATTCCAAATGAATTCCTAACAACTGAAGCTTTTCAGATGTTCAGGAAAGACACAGACCCCAATTTCAACATGAGAAGGGTCTGTATGTGGCCATTTATATCACAAATTGTGTACATGGAAAGAGATTGTCAGTTTCTAAGCCGCTTATCCTTCTGGGTCGCGGAGGGAGCTGAAGCCTATCCCAGCGGTCAATGGGCAGAATGCCGAGTAACAGGGTTACTGAATGTTAAAAACTGCTTGCAACAGTCAAATCATTTCATTGGTGAATTCAGCTACTTTAAGGTGCATCCATTGCTGACACCGGCGTTCAACTGTGCATGCATATCTAGTGTAATCTTCACAGAAAAGTAGTGCAGACAGAATGGGATGCTCTAAGGTCACAATCGCCAATGCCAAGAGTCAGCCAGAGGGGGTATAAAGCCCCCCAACACTGGACTGTGGAACTGTGTTCTCTGGAGTGATGGAGCAAATCATCCAACATCAGGACATCAGCCATCATGCGGCTGAACGCAATCAAATCCTCACAGCAGTGTTCCAATATCATGTGTTTTATCAAGACTTCCAAGAAAAGTAGAGGATGTTACTGCAGAAAATGGCACACAAACCCCTATTAATACCCAATGTTTCAAAAGAAATGTTGGATAACCATGGGTCTAAACACTTTTGTACACATGGTATGTGAAATGTAGTGGGAGTGCCCAAATTTTGGCCTGCTTCTACAACTTAAAACAATGTGAAATGGAATGTCACACTGAGCACTATGAATGTTCACAAATGGTTCAAAGGAATTGCTTTTCCCCACCCATTATCTCTTTCCTCCTTCTGTTGTAGGTTGATTAACACACACACACACACACACACACACACACATACTAAAAACACACACACACACATACAAAAACACACACAAAAAAATTAAATAATCAGATACACAGGCAAAAAACAAGAATGGAAAGATGAGCTTCGTAATACCCAACAATCAGGATGCATGATTGTAATTTAGTGCTATGGATATGCCGAAAGAACTGTGGTAGAATTCCTGTGCTTTTAAAGCCACAGCTAAAATTGTCTGGGCCTGAGAGCAAGCCTTAACAACACTTCCAGTTTCAAGCTTTGTCTCAACTGACTTGTGCATGGCAGCAAAGTTTCTTCTCTCTCTGCTTCTTGTTCTCTCCAAATAATGTTTGGTGTTGGAAGAGTTAAGCTAAAGGACCTTCTTAAAGTAATCTTTTAGATCTTTCTCCATCCACACATGATCGGAAGTAGCACATCAGTGACAAAAATTCCAAAAATATTTCTATCACAACTACATACACCAGTGATGTGATCTAGTGTGTTATTTTAGCACTTGCGCTGTGATCACAAAATAAAGGCCGTTACACACTGAAGGTGACGTGAAATTAGGGCACAAAAATGCAATCAATACCATAAATGCTGGATGTGATGCAGTTTTAATTTTGCCACCTGCTTCAATTTGTTTCACAGCCAAAAAATGACAAAATGACTTCTTCAGGTGATGAAGATGTCCTTTTGCTGCTCATGGATGGCAAGCACATTGTAATTCATTTTATCAATGTGAAATGTGACAGTGCACAGCGGCCAATCTTTTGAATAGTTTGTAAATAAAAAAAAAAAATCTTTTTTTTTGTCCTTTAAACATGTTAACAGAATCAAATACAGAACCTTTTAAATGACCAGAGACCACCAGCGAGCCCAGGGTTTATTTTAAACCTTCGATAACCTAAGAATAGTTCCACCATTTTGCACTGAAGTCCCTGTAGTCACTCAATAATAAGCCTTAGTATTTAATATGCCTGGGATTTTAAGGGGTTCAGTTCAAGTCTGTATAATAACAGCACAATTAAACAACGCAAGAGTATTATTAGCAAAATTATACATTAGTAATCAAAATAGTTATAATAAATGTAATATATTATGAACATAACAATAGTAACAATAACAACACAACAATAATTATTATTATTGTCATTATTATTATTATTATTAGAAGTAGTAGTAGTAAATAATGTCACAACAACAAAACAATAATAATAATAATAACAACAATAATGATAAAAAAAGAAACATTAAAATCATAATCAGTATTGTTATTAATTATATCACACTTATAAAATAACAATAATAATAATATAAATGGCTGATCGGGTGAGAAGCACTGGGGTAAACACAGAATTAGGGACCCTAGTTTCAGATGCTACATCCAACAATTTGTGCTGTACTGAATGAAAAAAAGGAATGATACAATCTCTCTTTAGCAATCATTCTCTATATGAAACAGTCTTCTGCATGTTCATTTATTTTTTTCCCCAAATCACAAAACTGTAACTTCCTTTTTTTTTAATGTTCTACAGTAGATTAAGGTTACATTTAGCAACAAAGAGTAAAAAAAATTATATCCATTACCTAAAAATGCTCTTACACTGTATTATTCCATTGTCTATTGCAGAATTTACTTAACATTAAATGTATGTAAGATTACAGTGAAGAGTTTTGCATTTTCATTTCATTTACACATATAATGTAAAATATGATGCAAAATTGTCAAACGCTGATTTAATGACTTAGTTAGGTCTTATTTTGCTTTGAATGGGCAAAGTTTGGGAAACACTATGAAAACCGCAGCAGGCATAATGTCTTAAAACAATGAAAAATTTCTCATCTCTGAGACCATAAATCAATGGACTGAGGCAACGTGGTGCAATCATAAAAACAACAAAATTAGAATATCTTAAATTAATAAACACCATAATATCACCCTTATAAAATGCCATTTCGATATATGGTATTATACTCTGAACTATACACAGAAACAGCTGAAAGGTGTGAAGGAGCACAGTTCTGAGACTCTTGTTGGTTGATTTCTTATTGTCCGAGGAGGCAGCTCTGGCTGCAATCATTATCTTGATGTAAGTGAACAAAACAACAATGATCATACAGAAGAAAAGGATCTGGAAAATTAAAGCACGTGTTTGTGCCAGCCACTCTTCCCCCAACATTACCTCTGCACTACAGAAAGCATAGGAGAACAGAGCACCAGAACGGACCGTTGAGAGATAAGCTATAAAAGTGAACAATGCGGGTATGGAGCTGATACCCCATATGATAAGAAATCCAAAACATCTAGTCCTGCTGGTAGAGATGTCAGCATGTCTTAAAGGCATGCATATAGCAACATAGCGCTCCAGACACATTGCCACAAGAGTCAGTGGAGTACAAATGTAAAGAAAAGCCATTGCCAAACAGAGGATAATACAAGGAATCATGTGGACGCGGTACTGATAACTATAGCAGACAAACAGGATATTGTTTACAATCATGAAAGCAGAGTCAACAAACAGGGTTTGTGCAAACAAAATGTAGCGAGTGTCCTCCCTGAACACCTCCTTTTTCAGAAAGGTGAATATCATCAGGCAGTTCACAAACAGGAAAATCCCCACCAATACCTGCACCACTGGCACATGTATTGAAACAGTATACATCAGCAAGTCCATATTTAAACTGCTGTTTACAGTGAGTTGCATTTCTGCAAAAGGTACATACAGACACAATAATAGATGGAGCAACGATTAACCCCACTCAAAACCCAGAAAGTCAATTTGGAAGTCACAGGAAAGGCTAAAGCAGTGGGCAGCACTTGCAGTCAAAGAGCTCATCTATTTATATTGTTTCTGAAGACCTCAAGGGTGGGGCAATGATTTTTCCTTGCTGAACATTGTTCAGCAACATTGGCATTTTACTATGAAATATTTTAAACACTCCCTTATGTTTTTCATTTTTTATTATCTCATAAATCCTTCATTTTCAGAAAGAAAAGGGAATTTCTGAAAAATACCACCCACACCCCTGCAACAAATCAAGGGTAAGATCACCAGAGTGCTCTCTAACTGGCCTAACTAATGGGCCTAACTAATGACATTCACAGTTAGAGGACACAATGGAAAAATTTCAAATAAATGATACATGTCTGTATTTATTTCTGAAGTAAATCATACAAGCATAGAAAGGATAAACCACTGATACAATTACACCAAAACAGTTCTTCAGGAAATCTGCAAAGTGCGCAAAAATACACTATTAGGATTATCACATACTTCATGCATTACATTTCAGAGTTTCCATATACTTTTTTGTAGTCCCATGTTTTGAGTCAGGTTGGCTATTTTGTGCCATTTTATCTTATATATCTGGAGACAATGACACAAAGATTACTCGTCAGGGTTTCTCAAGAAATTCAAGACAAGGACACAATCATTGAAATCTACCAGGTCTGAGATTGGATGTGTCACAGAAACATGGGGGCCCATGAATATTCCAAATGAATTCCTAACAACTGAAGCTTTTCAGATGTTTAGGAAATACACAGACCCCAATTTCAACATGAGAAGGGTCTGTATGTGGCCATTTATATCACAAATTGTGTACATGTAAAGAGACTGTCAGTTTCTAAGCCGCTTATCCTTCTGGGTCGCGGAGGGAGCTGAAGCCTATCCCAGCGGTCAATGGGCAGAATGCCGAGTAACAGGGTTACTGAATGTTAAAAACTGCTTGCAACAGTCAAATCATTTCATTGGTGAATTCAGCTACTTTAAGGTGCATCCATTGCTGACACCGGTGTTCAACTGTGCATGCATATCTAGTGTAATCTTCACAGAAAAGTAGTGCAGACAGAATGGGATGCTCTAAGGTCACAATCGCCAATGCCAAGAGTCAGCCAGAGGGGGCATAAAGCCCCCCAACACTGGACTGTGAAACTGTGTTCTCTGGAGTGATGGAGCAAATCATCCAACATCAGGACATCAGCCATCATGCGGCTGAATGCAATCAAATCCTCACAGCAGTGTTCCAATATCATGTGTAAAGACTTCCAAGAAAAGTAGAGGATGTTACTGCAGAAAATGGCACACAAACCCCTATTAATACCCAATGTTTCAAAAGAAATGTTGGATAACCATGGGTCTAAACACTTTTGTACACATGGTATGTGAAATGTAGTGGGAGTGCCCAAATTTTGGCCTGCTTCTACAACTTAAAACAATGTGAAATGGAATGTCACACTGAGCACTATGAATGTTCATAAATGGTTCAAAGGAATTGCTTTTCCCCACCCATTATCTCTTTCCTCCTTCTGTTGTAGGTTGATTAACACACACACACACACACACACACACACACTAAAAACACACACACACATACAAAAACACACACAAAAAAATTAAATAATCAGATACACAGGCAAAAAACAAGAATGGAAAGATGAGCTTCGTAATACCCAACAATCAGGATGCATGACTGTAATTTAGTGCTATGGATATGCCGAAAGAACTGTGGTAGAATTCCTGTGCTTTTAAAGCCACAGCTAAAATTGTCTGGGCCTGAGAGCAAGCCTTAACAACACTTTCAGTATCAAGCTTTGTCTCAACTGACTTGTGCATGGCAGCAAAGCTTCTTCTCTCACTGCTTCTTGTTCTCTCCAAATACTGTTTGGTGTTGGAAGAGTTAAGCTAAAGGATCTCTCAAAGTAATCTTTTAGATCTTTCTCCATCCACACATGATCGGAAGTAGCACATCAGTGACAAAAATTCCAAAAATATTTCTATCACAACTACATACACCAGTGATGTGATCTAGTGTGTTATTTTTGCACTTGTGCTGTGATCACAAAATAAAGGCCGTTACACACTGAAGGTGACGTGAAATTAGGGCACAAAAATGCAATCAATACCATAAATGCTGGATGTGATGCAGTTTTTGTTTTTTTTTTTATTTTGCCACCTGCTTCAATTTGTTTCACAGCCAAAAAATGACAAAATTACTTCTTCAGGTGATGAAGATGTCCTTTTGCTGCTCACAGAAAAATGCAAACAGGTACCTCCCTTTTTGGGTACACCCGATTTTGGAAAAAAAAAGTAAGGAGCCCGGAGAGCTTTACCACCTTATACAAGAGCTGAATGAGCACTTTCACGCATACTTCTAGATGTTGGTGAGTCACTGTGAATCACTGTTGGAGATACTAGCCCCTCATTTAATGAAGCAGAAGACAAACTACATAGAGACTGCAGACTCAGAGCAGAGACTAGCAGTGTGTTTAAGGTAAAAACAAAACAAAAAAAAAAAAACATTCAATCTAGATGACATGATCTGACTATTATGTTTCTCTGTCAAAGTCACTACTGTATAGTTGGCCTACACAGATACTTTATAGAGGAGAAAAATATTATGGTCTGAAACTGTATAATACATAATAAAAGTATCAATGACAATAGTCTTGCATTGCATTGCATTTAACAGATTCATGAGTACAGGGGACTCCTTTAGAACCACTGGCGCAAGCTAATGCTCGGCAGTGTCAACTGTGCCAAAAATGATCAAAAACACGTGATTTCACCTGGACACACATGAAGGACAAATACACGACACTGCCAACAGAAAAGCTTTAGAGGGTTGCTGCGACCCGGAAAAGTGGAATTTTCCTCATTTCCTAATTTGTTTTGGTGCACTGGATGGCAAGCACATTGTAATTCATTTTAACAATGTGAAATGTGACAGTGCACAGCGGCCAAATCTTTTGAATAGACTGTAAATAAAAAAAAAATCTTTTTTTTGTCCTTTAAACATGTTAACAGAATCAAATACAGAACCTTTTAAATGACCAGAGACCACCAGCGAGCCCAGGGTTTATTTTAACCTTCGATAACCTAAGAATATTTCCACCATTTTGCACTGAAGTCCCTGTAGTTACTCAATAATAAGCCTTAGTATTTAATATGCCTGGGATTTTAAGGGGTTCAGTTCAAGTCTGTATAATAACAGCACAATTAAACAACGCAAGAGTATTATTAGCAAAATTATACATTAGTAATCAAAATAGTTATAATAAATGTAATATAAACATAACAATAGTAACAATAATAACAACAACAACAATAATTATTATTATTATTGTCATTATTATTATTATTATTAGAAGTAATAGTAGTAAATAATGTCACAACAACAAAACAACAATAATAATAATAATAATAACAACAATAATGATAAAAAAAGAAACATTAAAATTATAATCAGTATTGTTATTAATTATATCACACTTATAAAATAATAATAATAATAATATAAATGGCTGATCGGGTGAGAAGCACTGGGGTAAACACAGAATTAGGGACCCTAGTTTCAGATGCTACATCCAACAATTTGTGTGGTACTGAATGAAAAAAAGGAATGATACAATCTCTCTTTAGCAATCATTCTCTATATAAAACAGTCTTCTGCATGTTCATTTATTTTTTTCCCCAAATCACAAAACTGTAACTTCCTTTTTTTTTTAATGTTCTACAGTAGATTAAGGTTACATTTAGCAACAAAGAGTAAAAAAAATTATATCCATTACCTAAAAATGCTCTTACACTGTATTATTCCATTGTCTATTGCAGAATTTACTTAACATTAAATGTATGTAAGATTACAGTGAAGAGTTTTGCATTTTCATTTCATTTACACATATATTGTAAAATATGATGCAAAATTGTCAAACGCTGATTTAATGACTTAGTTAGGTCTTATTTTGCTTTGAATGGGCAAAGTTTGGGAAACACTATGAAAACCGCAGCAGGCATAATGTCTTAAAACAATGAAAAATTTCTCATCTCTGAGACCATAAATCAATGGACTGAGGCAACGTGGTGCAATCATAAAAACAACAAAATTAGAATATCTTAAATTAATAAACACCATAATATCACCCTTATAAAATGCCATTTCGATATATGGTATTATACTCTGAACTATACACAGAAACAGCTGAAAGGTGTGAAGGAGCACAGTTCTGAGACTCTTGTTGGTTGATTTCTTATTGTCCGAGGAGGCAGCTCTGGCTGCAATCATTATCTTGATGTAAGTGAACAAAACAACAATGATCATACAGAAGAAAAGGATCTGGAAAATTAAAGCACGTGTTTGTGCCAGCCACTCTTCCCCCAACATTACCTCTGCACTACAGAAAGCATAGGAGAACAGAGCACCAGAACGGACCGTTGAGAGATAAGCTATAAAAGTGAACAATGCGGGTATGGAGCTGATACCCCATATGATAAGAAATCCAAAACATCTAGTCCTGCTGGTAGAGATGTCAGCATGTCTTAAAGGCATGCATATAGCAACATAGCGCTCCAGACACATTGCCACAAGAGTCAGTGGAGTACAAATGTAAAGAAAAGCCATTGCCAAACAGAGGATAATACAAGGAATCATGTGGACGCGGTACTGATAACTATAGCAGACAAACAGGATATTGTTCACAATCATGAAAGCAGAGTCAACAAACAGGGTTTGTGCAAACAAAATGTAGCGAGTGTCCTCCCTGAACACCTCCTTTTTTAAAAAGGTGAATATCATCAGGCAGTTCACAAACAGGAAAATCCCCACCAATACCTGCACCACTGGCACATGTATTGAAACAGTATACATCAGCAAGTCCATATTTAAACTGCTGTTTACAGTGAGTTGCATTTCTGCAAAAGGTACATACAGACACAATAATAGATGGAGCAACGATTAACCCCACTCAAAACCCAGAAAGTCAATTTGGAAGTCACAGGAAAGGCTAAAGCAGTGGGCAGCACTTGCAGTCAAAGAGCTCATCTATTTATATTGTTTTCTGAAGACCTCAAGGGTGGGGCAATGATTTTTCCTTGCTGAACATTGTACAGCAACATTGGCATTTTACTATGAAATATTTTAAACACTCCCTTATGTTTTTCATTTTTTATTATATGATAAATTCTTCATTTTCAGAAAGAAAAGGGAAATATCTGAAAAATACCATCCACACCCCTGCAACAAATCAAGGGTAAGATCACCAGAGTGCTCTCTAACTGGCCTAACTAATGGGCCTAACTAATCACATTCACAGCTAGAGGAAACACACAATGGAAAAAAACTCAAATAAATGATACATGTCTGTATTTATATCTGAAGTAAATCATACAAGCATAGAAAGGATAAACCACTGATACAATTACACCAAAACAGTTCTTCAGGAAATCTGCAAAGTGCGCAAAAATACACTATTAGGATTATCACGTACTTCATGCGTTACATTTCAGAGTTTCCATATACTTTTTTGTAGTCCCATGTTTTGAGTCAGGTTGGCTATTTTGTGCCATTTTATTTTATATATCTGGAGACAATGACACAAAGATTACTCGTCAGGGTTTCTCAAGAAATTCAAGACAAGGACACAATCATTGAAATCTACCAGGTCTGAGATTGGATGTGTCACAGAAACATGGGGGCCCGTGAATATTCCAAATGAATTCCTAACAACTGAAGCTTTTCAGATGTTTACGAAAGACACAGACCCCAATTTCAACATGAGAAGGGTCTGTATGTGACCATTTATATCACAAATTGTGTACATGTAAAGAGACTGTCAGTTTCTAAGCCGCTTATCCTTCTGGGTCGCGGAGGGAGCTGAAGCCTATCCCAGCGTTCAATGGGCAGAATGCCGAGTAACAGGGTTACTGAATTTTAAAAACTGCTTGCAACAGTCAAATAGTAAACTTACTATGAGGAATGAATTTTGTTGTCCTAAATCAGAATGATTTGTTATAAAAATACTTCAGAGTTGTGTTAGAGCAACTGGGTCTCACTGTAAAGCACACTCATTTTCTGAGACTGTGCTACACTGAAACCATATTGGGAAGATTGTGAAGATGTTAAACCCCGAGAAAAGGATTTTGGGTTTCACATATGGCTTACTGGTAAGGTCTGTGAGGGTGAGCCAACCAATAGGATGGGCAAGACCAAAAGTAGAGTGCACAAGCAAGTAGTTTATTACACGACGTGAAAACAGGAAACAAAAACTGTACAAAACGAAAAATAAACGGAAGGTAAAGTATTTACATTATATACTAAGTGTCAGGCTTAGTCATGCCTACTCACTTTTAAAATTTCCCCCACACCATTACATTAGTCACTGCAAGCAGCTAGTGTCCACTGTGGCAAACAGAGTCATGGGGCGATGTGGTCTTTAGACCCGAGAAACCCTAGGGTTTTAAGTCTAAAGCCCCACTCTCGGAGATCCCATTCCCCATCATGAGGTTAGAACAGGGTGGTTTACACATGAAACAAACAATAGCGCTATATACAGTCAACCTAGGTTAAACAATTCATTACCGGTATATACATTGTCCGGGCCAATCAACTTAATTATTTTCTTTTTCCTCCCACAGGATATTAGATGAGGAATAGAACCCCCCCTTTTCTCCCCATCAGTGGATCCTCCCGATACGGATAAGGTACGTAGGTCTCCCTGCTATCCCCCTTTTGCTATTTCTTCTTTCACAGGCAGACATAGGTAAGTACATCCATACACACACACATATTTTATAGTGCAAGGGATGGTATTCATTGGTGATGGGGTAGGCCTCGCCTTACCACATAAAACCCCCCCCCCATCTCAGTCACTGTCCAAGTGGCAGGATAAGAAGTCTGCTGTGACATTGTCCTTACCATTACGGTATTGTACCTGGAAACGGAATGGCTGTAACGACAGTTACCAGCGCGTAATCCGCACATTTGTGTCTTTCATTTGGCGCATCCATTTCAGCGCTCTATGGTCAGTCTCTAAAACAAAATCACTGCCCATGAGGTAGTACTTAAAGTCTAGTGCCCATTTCACTGCCAGAGCCTCTTTCTCGACCGTGGAGTGGTTTTTCTCCTTTGGAAATAGCTTACGACTGATGTACAGGATCGGTCTTAGGCTGTCCTCCTCCCCTTGGAGTAAAACTGCCCCTAGCCTGTTACCTGATGCATTAGTTTGAACCACAAAAGGTTTGCTAAAATCTGGGCTGCCTAAAACTGGATCGGAGCACAAACAGTCTTTAAGATCATTAAAAGCAGAATTGCACTCCTCTGTCCATTTGACTCTCTGAGGTTGGTCCTTCTTGGTTAAGTCTGTGAGAGGTGCCACTCGGTCAGCGAAATTTGGGATGAACCTTCGGTACCAGCCCACTAAGCCCAAGAACAATCTTACTCGCCTCTTTGTGGTCGGTATCGGGCACTCCTTTATCGCTTGCACCTTATCCACTTGTGGTCTAACAGCTCCTCCCCCTAGGACATGGCCTAGATAGGACACCATCCCCTTTGCCAGGTGGCATTTCCCAGGGTTAGCTGTTAGTCCTGCTGCCCATATCTTCCCCAGCACCGTCTCCAGATGACGTAGATGTTCTTGCTTCTACTATAAATGACGACATCATCGAGATATGATGCCGCAAAGTCCTCTGTCCCTTTGAGCACTGCGTCCATCAGCCTCTGGAAAGTCACCGCTGCCCCATGGAGTCCGAATGGCATAACAGAAAAATGGAACAGTCCATTTGGAGCCCAGAATGCAGTCAACTCTTTAGCTGACTCTGTAAGCGGTACTTGCCAATACGCTTTGCATAAGTCCACTGTTGATAAAAACTATAAAGTCTTTCAATGAGCACTTCTGCTCTTGGCATTGGGTAGGGGTCAAATGCTGAGACAGAGTTCAATTTTGACAAGTCTACACAAAACCTCAGTTCGCCATCTTTCTTTGGGACTAAAACCACTGGACTGCACCACTGACTGATAGAGGGTTCTATGATGCCCATATCGAGCAGCTTACTGACCTCCTCTTTAAACTTCAGGATGAGTCTTGCAGGCACCCAACAGTTCACCTGCCGGATTGGGTCGTGTTTTTGCAGGCGGATGTCGTGCTGGTCCAGAGCTCTTCCCACTGCTCCGCTGTTAAGTGGTCCAGTGTTAACAGTTCGTCTTGGTGTTTGCTGTTAGAAGGGAAATACTGTTCAATGCTCTCCTCCTCCTCTCCTACAGCGCGCACCCACAGGTGTTCTGCAGCGGGTTGGTCCCTTTCTTTCCACTGTCATAACATGTTGATTTGGAAAGTTTGTTTTGTCCTTTTGCAGTCCGGATGCAACAGTTCATAAGTTGTCTGATTAACCTGGCGCAAAACTTCATATGGTCCATGCCACTTTGCCAACAAACGGATATCTGATGTCGGCAAAAGGACCAATGTCTTGTCGCTGGGTTTAAGTGTCCGGTTTTTTGCTGACCTGTCATACCAGCTCTTTTGATACTCTTGAGCTTGCTCCAAGTTCTCATGTGCTAGCTTCATTAAGGCCACCATTTTCTCTCTCATTTTGAGGACATGGGAGAGGATGTTCCCTTTCTGTCCATCGCTGTGCCCCTCCCAGGTCTCCTTCAGCACATCCAGTGGGCCTTGAACCTCCCGTCTGTAGAGCATCTGGAATGGTGAGAATCCCACTGATGCTTGAAGTACCTCCTGGTACACGAACAAGACATAAGGCAGCTACGTGTCCCAGTCAGACCCAGTCTCGTTAACAAAACGCCCTAGTATAGTCTTTAAGGTTTTGTTGAAATGTTCCATTAGCCCGTCTGTCTGTGGATGGTATGGGGTAGTCCGGATGCCTTTAATACCCAGCAGGTTATAAACTTCCCTCAGCTGCTTCGAAGTGAAATTGGTACCTTGGTCTGTTAAAGTCTCTCTAGGTACTCCTACTCTGGAGATAAACTGGATGAGGGCATTAACCAATTGCCTTGTTTTTACCTTTCTTAATGGGAAGGCTTCAGGATAGAGCGTGGCGAAATCACATATTGTGAGTATGTACCTACTGCCCGAGTGGCTGCGTGGCAAAGGTCCCACAATATCCATTGCTATCCTTGAAAACGGTTCCTCCACTATCGGTAGGTTAATTAAGGGTGCTCTATCAGATTTTTTGGTTGGGGCTGTTAACTGACACTCTGGGCATGACCGGCAATAACCCAAAACCTCTAGGTGCTGCCCTGGCCAATAAAACCTTCTAGAAATTTCGCCTTTCCCAAATGGCCTGCCCACAGTTCAGAATGACCCAGTTTTAAAACTTCAGCCCTCAACTCTTTTGGCACCACAAGCTGTTCTTGCTCTCCTTTTGTCTGGTAGAGGATGGCGTCTCTCACAATGAAGGAACCTCCTTTTTCCAATTTTCCTGTCTCTGCTTTAATAAACAGGGGCTTTAATGTGTCATCCAGTTTTTGCAGCTGTGCAAAGTTGTGCATAGGTAGGTTTAGATTAGTATCTGGGTTTGGGACGCTTTCACTGATTTTGGTGCCTTGCACCGTAGCTTGCCTTCTCTCCCTTTTAGTTTTCTTTTGTTTGGATGCTTCACTAAAAGGTAATTCTTTTAAGGCTTCTACGTTGCTTTGCCTTTCCCTTTTAGCACTTTGCCTTGTAGTAACCAAGACCTCGGCTTTGCTTTGTTTTTCAGTTAAAAGGTCAATTAAAACTCACTACCCAAAATTACCTTATAGGGGGATTTTTGCATGATCCCTACTGTCAGCAAATACTTTTGCCCTTCAATCTCTAGGCTAACATCAGCTGTTGGATACACTTGCTCATCACCATGTACACATTTGACTTTTAACTGGCCAGTCTGTCTCAATCCCCCTTCAGGTAAGCACGAAGCTAAAATTAGCGTCTGACTGGCCCCCGTGTCTATTAGTGCTTTTTGCTTTATACCAGCAACTTTGACATTTACAAGGATGTCTTTGGGTTCGTTATTTATGGAAACAGTGTTATTTCTTGGGCTGTAGCATAACTGGTTTATACCGCTGTTGTGCTTTGGGCACGCATTTGCCCTGTGTCCTGGCTCATTAAGGTTAAAACACTTTAAAACCTTTCCTGCATCAGCCTTAGTGCTGTTCCCTGAACTGTTTTTTCCTCTGGTAAATTTAAAACTTGGGTGACCTCTGCTGGATGATTTAAAAACCTGCTGCATCGAACCACCCCAGACCACGCCCCCAGACTCACTGGGCTCTCTGTGCTGCCGTTTCTCTCTTCTGCTTTTTCCCGGTTGAA